AATCTGGCTGCAAGGCGCCTGCGGCCGAAGCATGGCCTAGCGTGAGCAGGACAGCAATAATGGAATCTCAGAGTTCCTCATGCATCAGTTCATTGTACTGCGAGTTCTAGTCTGCGATCCACCTACAATAAACACAGGGTCGTAGCGAATTGAGGTGTGCATGCAAAGAGTGAATGTGGCGTACCATGTGTGATTGGGCAGCTAATTTTTGGTAGATCAAGCGAGCCACGCGCGACACCTGCAGAAGCCCAACCATTGTCTTGCGCCATAGTCAACCTTTGATCGTTTCCTTCACCCACACCACTCGCCCATAAAACCCTGCGCCGCCGTCGGAACCCTTGGATACATTACTCCCAACAACACAAAGCCCATACCTTTTCACAAATAACTGCAACCATGGCACCAGGAAAGTGGGGTACGTCATGTTCGCTGCCACTGCGCGCGGTTCAAGATGGTCATGCAAAAACTTGGGACTGACATGTTCTGCAGACGACGAGGATGAGGGTAGCACTCCTCCCACATCCCCACAGGTGGCTCCTATCGCGCGCCGCAGCAAGTTCGACGATGAAGAAGAAGACGACGATGTGCGTCAGCCCACCATGCCCCGCGCTTGAATACTTCAAGCCCCGCCACGACCAAATGTACTGACATTGGACACAATAGGTACTAGATTCATGGGACGCCGCCGAGGATTCCGAAGTCGAACGCGAGAAGGCAAAGAAGGCCGCCGAGGCAAAGGCTAAGGCGGAGGCAGAGGCAAAGGCGAACCACAAGTCCAAGGCGCAAAGGATCGAGGAGCACAGGCAGGCCGCGCTACGTCGGCGGCAGATGGAAGAGGATGGCGAGACCGACGAAGAAGAGACTGAGGCTGAACGCCGCGAACGAATGCGCCAGGCAGAACTCGACGCTTCGCGCGCCCAAGCTGAGGAACTCTTTGGTGACCTGAGCGTCGCCCCCAAGGCCCGTACTGGCAAAGCCATCACTATTGCCGACGAGTCCGACCCGGGCAACGCCATCGACCTCTCCTCCCTCGCCATTTTCAACCCCAACACCAAGGACCAGTTTACCAAGCTCCGGGAAACTCTCACACCTCTGATTGCTGGCAACTCTAAGAAGGGCCAGTACTCGCTGTTCCTACAGGAGTTCACCAAGCAGATTGCTAAGGATCTGCCGAGTGAGCAGATCAAGAAGATTGCATCTGGTCTGACGACACTGAGCAACGAGAAGATGAAGGAGGAGAAGGCTGCTGAGAAGGGTGGAAAGAAGAGCAAGGCTGCAAAGACCAAGACCACACTCAATGCGAGCAGAGACGTCGGCGTCAGGGCAGATACCAGGGCATACGATGACGACGACTTTGGCGAGTAAGTTATGTTGGAGCCTGTCTGGCTTTCACAGATGCTAACAAATTATAGTGACGACTTCATGTGAGGCATGACGAGGCATCCCATGCATACGCCTTTCATATTGGAGTTCATTCCTCATCATTCAGTTTGGAGTCGCGGTTGGTCATTTCAAGGAGGATCAAAAGGGAAACATGCGTGCATGGCGTCTCGCGCTTGACGTGTCTGCTTCACGGTTGTGCTTCGAGATGAAGCGACATAGGTTTAATGCATATGTAGTGCATTATAGATAGACGCGCGTAGACAGTAGATGTCTGGTTCTTACAATCTGAGCATGGTATCTTCTCCTACCCAATGTTGAAACATTCTACACCAACAGCATAACATTAGTGTGGTGACACGTGTATCAGCTCTCTTCCACCAGCGGTGAATACAGGAACTGGAGGTACTACTGTCAGCCCACAGTCCAGACGCGATAGTGAGCCATCTTGAGATTGAATTGATGCCGGCCAATGCCGCTTCGTCAAGCTCCGACGCATCGCAACGCGGGGCAACATGTGTTGATGGAACGTCATCCCGCCAAAAAAATTGAACGCGCCAGTCAGTCACGGCTACCAAATTTCCTGCACCAATTGGGATGATGTGAGCCAGAGAATTCCTAAGCCCGATACCATCGATATGCGCGCTCAGTTACTATGCTTTTGAGGGTTCACAGCCATTGGCGCATTACACGTGTAGCTCTTACCCCTCATTGAGTCACTCATTCGAGACGCGCCTCAATCTTGTACACTACAAAACGACACACACATCCACCCACTTGAGCCCACATATCTGGTCTGACGCCGCCCGCGCACTTAGCCCTCACCACGGCAGCAAGCCCGCATCCAATTGCAAGTGCCGACGTGGGACTCGTGGCCTAGCCCGTAGCAGAATTCCCCATTCAAGTCTTTGTTAGAGGGTGCACAGCGCGCGTCTGCATACTACAAACCCTAGCAATTGCGTGCTTGATTCATAGCCATGGATCTCGTCAACTCGTATGTTCCGATTGTTTCTTTTCCCCATTCTTTTTCCTTCTTCTGATAGCTTCTTGTATGACCATGGGGTACACCAACGGAAATGATGGCGCAAGTGAGATCGAGCGCATCGCGCAAAGAGCGCGTCAGGGCAGCAGGAGTCTTCCGTTCATGACTGACCTTTTGGGAAACAGCTTGAACGACCGTCTCCTCTTTGCGGTGCCTAAGAGTACGTCGCCTACATTACTACTGGCTGGACTCATAGGCTAATAACCATCGCAGAGGGCCGCCTCCACCAAGCATGTCTTGACCTTCTCCACGGTTCGGACATCCAGTTCCACCGACACTCCCGTCTCGATATCGCACTCGTCAAGAACCACCCTCTCGCTCTCGTCTTCCTACCCGCCGCCGATATCCCGACTTTCGTAGGAGAAGGTCGCGTAGACTTGGGCATAACCGGGCGCGATCAAGTCGCAGAACATGAGTGCGTTGCACCACCGACTGCCACCAGCGGCGTAGAGGAGGTCCTCGATCTAGGTTTTGGAAAATGCAGTCTGCAGGTACAAGTCCCCGCGAAGGGCGACCTAGCCAAGCCAGAGGACTTGATCGGCAAGAACGTTGTCACCAGCTTCACCAACCTGGCTGAGCAGTACTTCCGGAAACTCGAGGCCGAGCAAGCTGGAAACACAAACGGCGAAGCCAATGGCGATGCGAAACTCAAGACAGTCATCAAGTACGTTGGCGGCAGTGTTGAAGCGGCATGCGCATTGGGTGTCGCGGACGGTATTGTCGATTTGGTGGAGTCAGGAGAGACAATGCGCGCTGCAGGCCTCAAGGCCATCTCCACAGTCGTCGACTCCAGCGCCATCCTCATCAAGTCAAAGCACCCATCAGATCCCAAATTGGTTGAGCTGATCACCGCTCGGATAAAGGGTGTCATCAGTAAGTCGCATCGACTTCCGCATTCATTAGCAGAACTAATTTCTCGCAGCTGCACAAAAGTACGTTCTGTGCACATACAACATCGACCGATCGAAACTCGATATCGCGCGCAAGATCACCCCCGGACGTCGCGCCCCCACCGTCAACGCGTTGGAAGAGGATGGCTGGGTGGCTGTACAGGCTATGGTGCTAAGGAAAGACATCGCTATTGCCATGGACAAATTGACGGAGGTCGGGGCTACCGATCTCATCGTAACAAAGATCGAGAACTCGAGAACGGGTGATTGAGCGACGCATGGCGCATGGGATCTGGGTGGATACACTGGTCTACATTTCCTGCGCAACAGATGCGTTTGTTAGAATGGAACTATGTAGAGAGCTTTTAGTATACTAGCTGGATAGCCCGCTCCTTGTATTTGTAGCTGAATGCTATGGAAGTACAAGCGCCGTATCTCTCGTGTCTAACAAGCTTCGCGTGGTGGAATATCCTTATGAGGTCTGCCATGAAGTCTCGCATGCTTACCGCACGTTTGCGGATCATGGACCTCTGTTACCAAACTGGCCAAATTGTGGGTCGCGGTCTAGACGACGTAGCAAGTAGTTCGGCGCTAAGTCTCGCAGGACCCTACTCACAAGATCATAACTGCAGCTTAAGACTGTCCGTATCGTGAACACTGTTGGAAGCGTGGCTGCTCAAGCTGTTTTGTAGCAGCGATGAAACGAGTCTATAAATTTTATGATTTGGCAAACCTCCATCAAGCATTCTTGGTCCAACGGTAGGATAATTGCCTTCCAAGCAATTGGCCCGGGTTCGAGTACGTTCTATTCCTCTTCCACATCATCCAACATCATTCTAACAGCCTCTCCAGCTCCCGGAGGATGCATAACATCCTTCTCCACAATTGCGAGATGATCATTTTTTTTTGCTCAGACATCGTCTTGACGCTGAGACGAGTCAGCATGCGACGCATAGAGATCATGTTTTTGCCTACGCTTAGAGCAGGTGTGCGATGCTGCATGTAATGCAAGGTTTGAGGGAAGGACATGCTTTCGTTGAGGATATAAGGGTGAAGTCGTTCTGAATAAGGTAGTAGTAGTTGTTGTGGATATTGATACCCACGCGTCTCACAATGGCTCTCCTCGGTACACATCAGTGGTGTCATTTTAAGCACACCATGTAGTAGGAAAGACAGCAAAACAACACACACGATGCGCCTAGTGCGAAATTCAGTTCATTGTTTAACACGTAGAACACTAAGAGTAGTTCAAAGATCAACGAAGCATCACCATCGACATTAGATGGTAAAAAGCGATGAGTTCGATAGCCCCCGTGTCGACCCCAGCGACGGTCCAGTCGGTCTAGCACTATCTCAACCCGAGGTGTTGGTCACAACTTGGACATTGGATAGTGGACATTTGATAGTGGATAGTGAGTTGGTACCAAGGAGACTGTGCCAAAGACCAACCAGACCATCACCAAAACCGGCACGGGGAATAATGTAAACTTGTTACATTGCGATGAGCTACATACAAACTCCTAATACCACTGTCCGACCAAGAGAGTGAATGCTGCCACCATTACAAGCACAAAACTGAACCAAAACACTACAATAACCCATCGCAAACTCCATTGCTATGCCACGCTCGCTGATTCAATAAAGGAGGGAAGTTGTCGTTCAAAGTCGTTCGTTCAGGCTGCTTCGATCTACTCAATGCTGATCTTACGGGGCTGAGGAGCCTGAGCCTTGGGAACAAGGATGCTCAAAATACCGTTCTTGAGACTAGCCTTGACGGCTTCCTGGTCGACGCGAGCGGGGAAGGCGAAGGAGCGGTGGAATTCTCCGACTGAGCGCTCGCTGACCCAGTACTTGGCCTTGTTCTCGTCGTGCTTGGAGACGTCCTTGTTTTCGGACTGCTTGGCGACCTTGTTGGACTCGCTGGGGTCGTCCTCAACCTTGGGCTGAAGCTTCTTCTGCTGGGAAGCTTCACCGTTCTCGATGAAGCCCTGAGGGCGTTGACCTTCCTCGCGGACGTGCTCGTGGCGGCCCGAGATGGTCAGGGTGTTGTTGTCGGTCCATTCGATGTTGATGTCCTTTTGCTCGACACCGGGGAGTTCTCCGTGGAGTTCGTAGCCCTCCTTGGTTTCCTTCACGTCGAACTTGGGAGTGAAGGACCGGACGTTGGTGAATTCGCGGTCGAGGTTGCGGAAGGCTTGCCTATCGTACTCGTCGAAGAGACGGAAGATAGGAGCGAATTCCTGAGTGAATCGTGGGAAGAGAGACATTGTTGCTGGTGCGTTGGAAAAGCGTCGAGTGGTTGTGATCGTAGGCTTGGTGATGCGGTTGAGTTGTCGAGGAACTCGTTGGATTGTAGAGCGGATTGATTGCATAGAAGACTCGTTGTTTGTTGTTCTGATGATGAGCTTTGAGAGACGCCTCGAAGGCTATATATACCCGAGAGATGAGTTTCTGGAATGATCGCACTGCGGAGAGGCATTGGTGTTGCGTCGACGACGATGCTGCGAGAAGCCTCGGAGATAGCTCGGGGAGTTTCTAGAGCTTTCGAACACGACGTTTGTCGTCATGTTGTCGTACGCGATCAGACGAAATCGTGAGATGAGAAGCTTCCAGCTCTTGCCGGGGGAAACTATCATGGCGATCTCCCGGTCGATCCTGCTTCGGTGAGGGGCGAGTTGGCACTAGAAAGTTCGGGGTGGTGGCTCAGACCATATCACGTGATGCCCGCGCTCGAAGTATCCAACGCCTTGGGAGCGACATGTGAGGCATCTGCTGCACAAGGCCCGTGTACCCCGCAATTCGGTCATGTATTGCGTGATGTTCATCTAACAGGTTGTATCACGGTGACGTTGGGTGCTCGCCTACTGGTGCGCCGCTTCGTTCTTCGTTCCTTGATCCTGTACTCCCCCGCTACCTGTGGATGTCTCGGATACCCGGCTCAGACCATGTCTCCAGCTGATTTCTTCCTCTTCGAAGCAGATATTCGATGGTACCGAAGTCCTTCTTGCCGACATCCCGGTGCTTATGGAACTCGGATCTGGAGCTACTCGTCAGCTGTCGCAGCAGGTCGTTCATTTGACTTGATCGCACCTTGCAAAGTCCCGGAAATGCGACTGCGTCTCCTATAATTGCGTGAGTAGGTGTTTGTAACCGTAGTGTTGTAATTGACATACCGTTGGTTTCTGCTTCACAGCTCTTAGGCATTGTCGGTAGAGAGACAAGACGTCTTTTTGAAGTCCCGACAATCGTACCATCTCGGCCAGGTAAAGATGTCGTAAGCAACTGAAAAGACACAAGATGTATAGTCACGCACGTTGGCGACGTTGGGATGCAAGAACGAATGGCGGCGAACGAAGCCAGAGCCGAAGGGCCGCGCTCCTAAGACCGAAGAGGTTAGCTTGATTGATGACGATTTCGATGATGTTGGATCGCTTCCGCGCATCGTAGCATGCTCAAATGAGGACGACAATACATTCGAGATGTTTGCATGTCTAACGAAGTTCATGGGGGCACGCAATATCACTGATCAAAAACTTCCACACGCGAAGATCGCAAATACACCATGAACACAACGCAAATTCCCTTGGTAATGTAGTATTGTAAGATCGAAACTGTGTGTGGGTGTGTCGCATGCTTCGTTCACTTTCATCTAGGTGCCGTTCCGCATGGGGATACTCATGGCGCGCTGATGCTTTCAAGTGGACTCAGCTTGACCTTGATGTCATGCGGCCATACGAACCATTGTTTGTGTAGATCCCATTCCTTTTCTGGATCCTCAAGCTCGATCTTTGAGACATTAGCACTCACATCCACACCAAGAAGAAGTCAAAACGTACCTTATATCTTCCAAATACTGTCGCAACCACCTTGTAGACCTCTACCAGTGCCAAAGGCTTACCAAGGCAGATCCTGTTGCCTCCTCCGAACGACATGTCTGCGTCTTTCATCCTCTTGATCCTGGCCTCGTACGCGCCAGACTCTTCGCGTTCACTGTGCAGCCATCGCTCCGGACGGAACTCATGGGGCTTCGCACCGAAAATGCTCTCCTTGTAATGAAGGACCCATGGATTCACACCGACAATTGTTCCTGGTGGCAATGTCGTTCCGTTGGGCAATGCAAGACCAGTTGCAGGGACGACGCGCTCGAGAATATGACCTACGACGGGATGCATACGGAGACCTTCTTTGATGCATGCATCCAGGTAGGGTAGCTGTTCGATGCCAGTATATGATGTAGGGAAGGAGAGACGTGCAGAGAGGAGTTCGTTGACGAGTCGTTCTTTGGATGCTGATGACTTGAGGATGTGGTAGAAGATACCTTTTATCACAATGGCAAGGGTATCGGCACCGCCCAGAATCTACAGGAGCGGTATTAGTTCTACTCACGCCACAGCGCAGCCATGAAACACTCACGTTGATGATCATGTATCCAATAACCTCATTGTCGGTGACAAGGTCCGGGAACTCTTTCTTTGCTTCGAGAAAGCCATTGAGAAAGTCCTTCTTTCCGTTTCCAAGTTCAGGGTTCTGCATACGCTCCATGAAGCGCTCGACGGAGAAGCCGGCAGCAACGGAGAAATCATCGAACTTATAGAGCGAGCGGGGCCACTTAGGGTTCTTTCCGAGCCATTTGTCGAGGGCAGGCATTTGGCCGACCTATCGAATTTCAGTAAGAACTTTTGCAATGGTAACAGTTATAATGAATTTCTTGACTCAACGTAGGACGTACCACTGAGAAATAGCGCATGACACGTTCAGCGGTTCCAAGCATATCGCCAACATCCATACCCTGTTCCATAAAGCCAATACGCTTGCTCCAGGTCATATCACCCAAGAAGTCCCATGCGAAGAACGAGATCCAGTCAGCAATATCGCACGTCTGGTCCTTGTTGGCGCCTTCCACAAAGCGGGCGTCCAGTTGACTGCATAGGGTACGAAGATTGTCGTCCATAATACTCTCGATCTGGAGAGCATTTTGAAGACTGTACAGCTTTTGAACTGGCTTAACATTCTTGGAGTGGAACTCATTGCTGCGCGTACTGAAGATGTTTTGAATGAGATGCCCATCTTGTAGGGCGTCGTTGATAGACCGAAGGAGGGTTAGCATGATCCACTTCTAAGGACGACTGCCTATATCTTACGTAGTAATCGCTCTATTGTAATGTCAGCAGTCGTTTCAACAGCAGCTGTGTTCCATGCGCTGACCTTCAAGTACGTCCCACGAGTGTTGTAAATAGTTTTGATCAGACTAGCATCAGCAACACTAACGGTATTGGGACCGAGACGAACGATATCGCCATGCTGTTCATGAAGTTTCCTCTGGGTCTCGATATGAGTTTGCCCATAATGATTGAGGAAACGCCAGATATCCGAGAATTTGGCTAGAAAGGGACCGGGAATAGATTTGAGCGGGGATTGCAAGTAAGCCAGAACGTATCGAGTGATGAGAAGGACTGTTCCGAGGCCGATTGCCTTCACGAATAACCCTGCCAATGCCATGTTGTCACTTAACTCCGTACATGCAATGTGATTCTGAAAAGGAAAAAAGGACACAACCCCAGGAGTGGGAAGAGGATTGAATATGGTAATGCAGATGACAAGGCCTTCCCGCTTCAGATTGTTGCCAATCACCTAGTAGCCGCATGTTCAGGTATCGGTCTAGCATATGTACGAAGACGGGGCCAGAATCGAGTCCCCTTCGCTTGGTCGCCCTGGTGTTGGTGAAGCCAAGTCCAACTTGCCCTGAGCGAGGCAAGGCGCCGCTTGCGTACAAGCATGGCGTGTATTGCTTTTTCCCACCACCTTTCTATCGCAATCCTAGGCTTAGCCATTGGTCGTACCAGCCATCGCGAATGTCGGGGAAGCGGTCCCTTGCACTAATGACGGAGTGACAGCGGGAGGTGTGGAGTTTTACGGTTCACGGGTACTAACACAGGCTAATCATGTGGGGACTGACCGGGCCCTGCAGAGCAGGTGTGAGGCAGGTGAGGTTCGCTCCATTTGCAGGTCCAACCGCATCAAGCTCCTATGTTGGATGCGACCTCGGGATGCATCTCTTGACAGTCCCCGGAGAACGGCGCAGATGAACACGCTTATCTGCGTTCCACAGTCCTGGAAAACTGCCTCGTAGGATCTGACTCCTTCGCTCCTTCACTCCTTTCCGCACGCCGCTGCTGGTTAGACCGAGGTTGATCCGTCGGATGTGCGATTGAAACGCCACTAAAGATCGCTTAGCCGAGTCTGGTGTGGCCCACAGCTGACCCTCACGATTAGTAGTGCGGGCAACGGCCCGTCACGGAAAGGCCAAACGTTCCTGTACAACTTCAGATCATCGAATTCTGCATGCAAGAACAAATTTTCGCAATGCCATTTCGAAGCCACTTGCGTAGCATGAACGATCCAAGGTTTCGCGAAGGACATGGCCCAGTTGACTAGTGCACAGCACCGCATTCCAGAGACGGGATGTTACGAGATTCAAACCGGATAGGCATCCACATTCGGGGACAGTGGATAACCGGTAGTCGCATACTCCGAGCTTTGGACACTCATTGGTCCTGATACATTTAGCTTCATCGCTGAACGGTGAAGGAACACCATCCTACTCCACCTGAGCGCTCAACCTGGGCCAATCTTCATCACGCGGATAACTGGCCCTCAGCGAATCAGACGAAGCGGACCCATGAACAACAGGTCCTGTTGGACCGCAGGTTGTTGCGCAACCCGCAAGCAAAAGAAAAAGCATTTCATCTCTTCCTTCGTGCTATGCAAGCTGCAAGATACAAGACAATTTGACTCATGAAGCGCCAACGGGGTATCTTGCTCCGGTAGTTGCGAGGGATTTGTGATCAACACCTCTCCTGGGTATGCAGAATGAATTACTCTAGGAAGAAGTGAAGCAGAAGACGGGAACTAGTTTGGCGGCAAAGTAAAAACAGTCTACCAACGTCAAGCTACACAAGGATTCAACGGAGGACTGCTTTTTTTTCGAGGCCTCGCATGCATGAAACCTCACTCATAGCGCCTCTCTGCAGGGTAATGAGAGCGACAAGAACGGCAACAAAGCTTTGATACTATGCCTTGTTTGATTGCCTATGCAGGTCCCGAGAATTAGCGGTTTGTTTTGGCTTGGAAACCCGGCCCCCCTTCAGTTTCCCATAGCCACAACGGGGTTGCAATGATGCGCTCGGGCCGTAGACGTACATGCAAGTATGTTTGCTCTTCAGCATGGGTGTCTTCGAGGTCACAATTGAGGTTATAGATGCGTCAGCCTGACATTCCTTGCCACCACTCGAGTCGTTGATCTGAACATAAAACCTTTTGCGCAGAGCACAGGGCTGCCTTCAGCTCATCCATAATTGTCTCTTCTTTGGAC